GATGTAATATTATTTCCTCTGAACGTGAGTTACTAGAATGTCTACAAGTGTTTCCCGAGCATAAACGCTTAACATCGACCTCGTGATTATGCTATTATGACCCCATAAATCTGAGTATTTCTCCCTCCAGATGCAAGGCAAGATACTCACATGCGTGCCGTTGCAACTAGAAATGTATACTGACCTATACCAGTACCTAAAAATTCCGTCATTATGTAATTCCTCAAACAACACGAGTACTAAAAAGATGCTCAAACCTAATTGGATGATTGACAGAACGATCTAATCGGAGATAATAAAAATTTCAAGGATAATGACGAGAGGAAATACTTACCAAAATTACAGCGAGCCAGGTTTTATGACCGCTGACTGAATAATACAGAGATAAGACACATACAAACCAATCGTTCCGTGACTTACCGAACCATACACGAAAAGTATAGAACAATCTCACTCGATATCGCTCTTCAGAATCCTATCATAGGGCCAAAAATGTAAAACCATACCTAAACGCAAAGAGTGAGATATCGCTCTTTGCAATACTCTGAACGCAAAAGACCACTCACATGTATAATGATGGAAGGCTGATCAATAATACTCAATATTTTACTGTGTTAAATGACTTAATTCCTTATCAGAATCCGACTAATGGACATGTATTGATTAGCAATGGAACGGAACAGAGAGATGGAATGTTACGCCGGACTTAAGGAACCCGGCGTTCAATTTTTTATAATTAAGGGGGAATCGGCACGTAATGAGTTGGAAATATATGTGGAAATATATGATGTAAACGAGATCGACAGCCTGCATTATGCCTAATGTGCTACATGTGAATAAGCACTATACGTGAGAATGCTATGGAGCAGTAGAAGGCGAAATGCTCCTTACACAATAGAGAACACCTAATCCCAGCACGTTAATTTACTTAGTTAGGATACCAGTCAATTAACGAGAACTTTTATTAACTTCATATCTCCGCCGCAGTATCGATAATAGAAGGTCCCCTGCGCAACTGCAACGGTTATTAGACTAGATAGATAGAGGCTCGGATGTGAGAATTTTGACTTTCAGACAGAGGAGATCATCCACGTATATCACGTAGACGCTAGTGGCTACGGAAAATTCAAGTTTAATTCATTAGTGATTGGCAGAAAGGAAAGGCGACTGATCTTACACACAAGTATATGAAAAGAGCGGGCTCGATAGAATTTTGACCTCGTCGGACATTGAGGGTGACTTGATGTTGTAATTATTTCAGAGCTTAGTCCTCGAATCGCTGGTTTTAATATATGTCTAAATATATAAAAACATCGATCAATTGAGGTGAGCTCACTTAATGGAAATAAACCAGACCACATTGCCACCGAAAGCTCTAAATTTAAGCAAAACCTTGACAAACGACTTCACAAAATCTTCAAAATAGATCTCGTCGACTGCTCGACTCATGATATTCACGGGAGCGGGTCGTTTGCCAATTTCAAGACTTAGGTTAGCTGCTGAAGAATTCTCCCAGTCCTTAAATAAGGCTCAAGCTACAATCAGAAGCGAGTGGTGGTTCCACGGTAAATAGATCATCTAGCAAAGATTATCAAGCAACCATATACAGAGTGACAGTATACGTCAATCAATCAAAATTTGAAGCAAGCATGCTGATATCTGCGTTCTCACCTTCATGTCTTCATATAATAATATTAATACGTTTCCAAGCATAATTCGGAAATGCATTGTCTACTGATTCATGTTCGTCGGGGTTAAATGGGAATAAGGGGGCAGTTTTGGTTCAGTGAAAGAGAGTCGAAGCCACCCCTCTATCCAGCCAGTTTCTTACGGCTGTGGAAGGTTGAAGACTACCGAGCGGAAGCGCTGAAGGAGTGACATCACAGGGTCACTCCACCGCCACCGATCCGGACCCGTCACCCATTATGTATTTCGTCCATGGCTTCCGAAATATACCTGGATTATATCCAATTGCAGTCACAATCCTACAAGTCCTCAACAACTTCGACTTCCTCGTCCTTCGTATCCTACAACACGTCTGTGCACGCCCTTTCCTACATTCCCGCATCCTTCATACGTCCATGCCATGACCGACCACCATAACTCCATAATTACTCATTTCCATCACGCCGATGCTACCTCCTGCGACCTTTCTCTACACCTTCGGCACTCTATCCTCTACACTATGCACCCTTTGATATCATGTTTAACGATCTTGGCGACCATAACGAGAAGCTATCTCGTTCTTTGCAGTTATAACAGCCGTCTCCAACGCGCTCGGGCTCAAATGCCAAGTTCGATCGGACCCTTCGTTCTCGTCACAATACCGCTCTCAACATACTCAACCTCCTGACCGTCTTCGCCCAGCGTCTCCCACACACATCCTGACCCTTCGCCGAACCATACACCATACGCCAACTCTTGCCTCTTCTGCTTCTTTGGTGGATATGTCTCTTATACGATGGAACGCAGAATGTTAGTCAAGCTATGTCATTATAGGGGTACGGTTAATGTGGAGAATTGGTGAGAGATTTAGCTGGAATAAGTTGGTTAGCGAGGGTTCAATTCAATCAGGTTAACGAGACGAAGGAAAGGAGGAACATGATGAAAATATCCGAGATGGGAAGTAGAGGATCAGAAGACACGTTTAGCGAGGCGGTGTTTATTCTTCCTTGGTGAGTTCCATTAGCCATCTATCTCGATTAATGTCTCAATTAACTCAATCCTCACACCAATGACCTCGCGACGAACTTCGTGGAAAGCGCGTAACATACTTGAAAGATGACTTTTCCGACCATCTAGGGCGATATCACTTCAAATCAGTCTTTACTTAAGTGCCGCATCTCCATCGACAGTTAAAGCTTAAATACTTTAATAAATCAAAACATTTCGATAGGGAGTATTACTTAAGAGGGAAAACTAATCGCTTTATTAATGGTCTATTAGCTTAGTTGGTTAGACCGTGGTACTAATAATGCCGAGATCACAGGTTCGACCCTTGTATGGACCATTTGTTTCTATTTTTGGATCACTTTATCATGAAAACTTGAAATCTGAAGATCTGAAGACTGAATCAAAACAACTTTACGGGCTATATTCTTGTGACATTTTAGAACTCCAGCCGTCAAGAGGCCAACTGATAAAGTCTAGTTTTTTATATGACGGGGGGACTCAGAGAGGGTCAATCATGAGTCTCGTATAATCATTGCATATTAAAGATGGATAGCTAATAGGTATAAGTACATATGAATCGTGTCGCAAGGATCGAAATGACCTGATCGAGCCTGATTTTGGCTCGACCAGTGGCAAGACTCTGACCAGGGTGTAAAAGTTACTCTAATTATGGTATACAACGCGTATGCAAGAGATGACCGAGCTCAAAAATCCCCGTCAGGCCTGGTCGGGGCCGGCTAGGCGGTCAGGAGTTTGGGATTTTTGCGACACGTATGAAGAGAAGAATATCACTGATTCACAATTACGTGGATTATTCTGTATTAGGGGTGCTGAGGGGCTGCTTAGTGACGGGTTCACTATATTTATGATATCTCTGATTTTCATAACTCAGATTGAATAAAGGCATTAATTTTTGGAGAATCGTAGGGTAAATGGCTTACCGTCAACGTTAAATGACATGAACATGGAAGAATGAGGGCGAGAGTAGTTTTTAATCATTTGGGCGCGGATCCTTTTTCGAGCATTCAATCTTTAAACGTAACTACAATCAGAAGCTAATCTTGAACCTTAAATTATTGTTGTTCTTACGACACGAGTACTGAGTTTACGTAGACTTTTAATGATGTCAGCGGAAAGGCATCCCAGCAGCAATCGTTCGACTTACCTTGAGCAGCTGGATAATAGAAAATTTCCCAAGTAAACCGGGGATGGGGTGCAGCGAGCCACTGAATAATTTATCAATACGTAAGCGACATAATTTCAGAAAATGGCACCCTACAATTATTAAAGAGATAGTAGTTACAGCCCTGTAATGTCTATTATATATCTCCCAATTTACCGATATAAGAATTAGGACTTACACGGTTACTAAGCCGATGTTAATGGAGTAAATGGTTATTTTGCCGATACCAATTCGCATTCTATAATCAAAGTGATTAAAGTGACAGAATAGCCTGTACATTTTACAACTTACGAACGATGGAAGGGCTTTTCACGAAGAAAATACACCAATGAGCCTGAGATCAGAGCGTCGCATATAATTGTGGATGTGGAAGCGACACCCTGAGTGATCTAATGAAGGAGGTGTAAGCAACGTTCTTCTGAACATGAAAGAGTGCTTACAAGCGTTTCCCTAGCATAAATGGTTGATATTAACCCCGTGATTCGGCTATTATGACCGCCGAAATCTAAGTATTTTCCTTACAGGATCAGAGCCAAAGGAGCCGAATACTCACATGTATGCCGTTGCAGCTAGCGTAGAATGTAGTTTCAGCAAAAGACCTGATAATAATGCAGAAATTGCATCAAAGTTATACTGACCGATACCAGTGCCTAGGAATTTCGCCATTAATTCTCCATACAACGCGAGTACTAAAAAGATGATAAAACCTAATTGGAGGATTGACAGAACAATCTAGTGGCAGATAATAAATTTGTGAAGGAAGATTAAGGACGAAGGGAAATACTTACCATAATTCCGGCGAGCCAGGTATTGTGACCGCTGACTGAATAATATCGTAAAGATAAGAGACGTCCAAACCAATTCTTCCATGCGACTTACCGAACCATACTCGAAGGGCATAGAAGCTTTAACAAAAATATCAGTGCATTGAGAGACAATCTCGAAATTGCTCTTCTTAGTCCTACCATTGCGTCAGAAATGTCAAGCCATACTTAAACGTAGACAGTCGGATGTCGCTTCCTGTGGTATTTGGAAATCAGGAGACCACTCACGTGTATAATGCTCAAAGGCTGGATCAATCGTGATGGATCATATTAATCGATCTTTTACGGTGTTAAATGAAGAATTTCTTACAGCAATCCGGCTAGTAGACAGATATATGATTAGGAATAAAACGTAACAAAGAGATGAGATGTTACCGACATGAGGATCCCGGCGTTGAAATTTTTATAATTATGAGGTAATCGGCACGTAATGAGTTGGAAATATGTGTTGTAAAACAGATCGCCTGCCTGCACTATGCTTAATGTGCTGTATAGACACTGTATGTGAGAATGCCATGGAGTAGTAGAAAGAGAAGGGCTCCTTACACAATGGAGAGAACCTAAACCAGGATGTGAATCTAATTAGGATGCCAATCAATCGACGAGAACTTACAAAATATTTTATTAATTTCGAATCTCCGTCGTAGTTTCGATAATAAAAGGTTCCCTGTGCAATCGTAACGGCCACTAGGCTAGATAGATAGAGAGGAGATCATGATGAGATGGGATGTTCGACTCTCAGACAGAGGAGATTATCCACGTACATCGCGCAGACACTAGTGGCTACGGAGAATTCAAGCATTAGTGATCGATACAAAGGAAAAGCTGCTGAGATCGCACCTAAGTATACGGCTAGAGCGAACTCGATAAGAGTTTCGACTTCGTCGGACATTGAGGGTGGCTCGATGTTACCACTCTTGTAGATGGCAATTGAGACTACTCGAATCGCTGGTTTAATATAGGTCTAAATATATGAGACCATAGAACAATTGAGGTGAGCTCACATGTTGTGAAAAGGTAAGACGACGTGATGGGCAGAGACAAAGAGCGTGTTCTGTATCTATATGGGCGTATGTACATGTGTAGACGTGTTACTGAGTGACGGAACCTCACTGATTCTGAAGCCCGGACACCCAGCTTGGTCAGCTGCACCCACAGCCACCCCTTCCGCTGCACCCACAAGACCACATCCGCTGCGCCTCCCGCCGTTCCTTCTATTGCCACATGGCCATTCTTCTTTAAAAACGTGTTCTCCACTGCTTCCACTTCTTAATTTTCAAAGAACAGAAGGCAAGTATTTTACTTTCACCTTCTTTCATCTGTGTGACCGCACCCCCTAATGTATATACATTACTTTCCAATAGATCCTTCGCAGCTTAATCCTTGCTATGTGTCGAGGGAGAGGCAGGGAGGACAGTCCACCAGAATCTACGGACCTCAGGCTATGCATAATTCTCTGGACATCTGAAACAAGTTTGATGATCGGTGCGTGGCAGATAACTGACACGTTTTCAGAAGTTCATGATAACTCCTTAGCTCCAGTTTCTTAAGTCCATTTCAGTCTTATTGACCCTCCTATATACGCTAAACCCCACCCCTTTTCAGGAGTTGACTATTTGGGTTCGATATTTTGAGTAGATTTTCATCCCTAATACTCCTATAACTGGAGACAAAGCTAAGGATAGGGCTCAGATTGGTACGTCCTTTTCACTCATGAGTTATCCTCTGCTCCGCTCATATGAAAATGCTGATAATTTATCAGTATATGGGAGGTTCCTGAGCCATTCGCCAAGCCGATTTAAATTTTCTTTCCTTTAGCTAAGGAATTATGCCGGATGCTTTCCGGAACGTTCAGTGAGTGGGAGGAATCTGTACGCACCCAACTCTTATCAAACCCTGACTTGATTCTCTTGCTCCATTCCCCATCCTCTCATCAAATCCTTTCCATTTCTTATCTCTCTTCTCCCCCCATTTCTCTCCTTTTTTAAATTCCACCATGCAAGAGGACGCTCTTCCAAATCCGATAACTACCGTCAATAATACACCAGTTGCAAATTCGTAAGTCATTCAAAACTATTTGGCTTTCAACTGGAATCTTACACACCTTGTTGTTATAGTCTTCTTCCCCCTATCACTTTAATATCGTCTTCCTCTGCTTCGACTGAACTGTCGAACCATATGCAGCAAGCCTTGACTTCGGTATGCAAGCCTGTTATTTTTCTTTATCTCATTTCCGTTGCTCACTTAGGCTTTAAGCTTAAACTGGCAGCTATCCCTCCTCATCCCTCTCAGAGAGTTCTTCAGCGTGGTGGGGATATCAAGGTGTGTCAAGGCCAATATATTGTCATCCTTTTCTCATTTGTTTTCTAGGTTGACATTACATATCTCCATCTCGATCAGGAGCAAAAAAAGGCCATTTCATTCGTTTATGACTCATGCACCCAGTTTCATCAGCTATTCACCAACTCAGATCCATCACGGAAGGAGGCTGCGGAGCTACTCGGGAGTCAGGGTCTGGATATGAGTGATTTGGATGATTTGAGTAATAGATGGAGCATCCGATGGAGTAAGCTGAATGGGAAGGCAAAGAAGCATAAACGCTGTCTTTTACAATGGTACAGTCTTTTTATTATAGTTATAGTCTTTTTTATTGTATTTTATTCGTATTTTTTTTGTTAATAAATACTTATTGCATTTATCAGTCAATGTGGATCTAACTCACAAGCGCGAAAAGTGAAGGATGATGTCATTAAGATAAAGCAAGGTGACAAGATCTTCCCGCAAGAGTGGCAACGTAAAACTCCTTATGACTTTACTGGTTGCCTTGCACATCTTGATATTACTTTTGACCGACAATCATTTGACATTATACGCATCACTGGTATTATGGACCACAACTCAGCCTGTGAAAAGCAGGAGATGCAGCGCCTTCCGCCAGTCCCACTTCATCCGCATGTCTGGCAGCTGGCCATTCAGCAACTTAATACAGGAGCCTCGTAAGTGGAAGATTAGCCATTGGTGATATTTTATTAATTAAGTACACATGCTTTCAGAATTTCAGCCATCCAAGAAATGAATAGACAATGGTGCCGTCAAGAATTATATGAAGGGCAGAGCTCTGTTGACCCGAAGAAAGCCAACATTCGTTATTTATTTTTACCCCAAGACACAAGTCGTCTCTATAAGATGCATGCCCGTACTCAAGGAGTTGATCTCTCCCAACCTCCAGAACGTAACGTGGATGCATGGCTAGACTCTAGTAGTGCGGAATACAAGCCTGAGCTCGCTGCTGCCATCTTTCATTACAAGGCCAGGCATAATCCTTCAGAA